CTATTATTAAATCGGTAATTGATGGTTGTTCTAAACCACTAACTTATATCTTTAATTTGTCCTTTCAATCAGGAAAATTTCCTAATAGTATGAAAATAGCAAAGGTTATTCCGCTTTATAAATCTGGAGATAGACATAATATTACAAATTATAGACCTATTTCTTTATTATCGCAATTCTCTAAAATCTTAGGAAAACTTTTTGATGCTAGACTAGATAAATTTTTGGACAAATATAAAATTTTAACTGAAAAGCAATATGGTTTCAGATCTAATAGATCCACAGCGTTTGCAATAACTGAATTTGTAGAAGGTGTTACTAGTGCCTGGGACAACAAGAAACAAACATTGGGGATTTTTTATTGATTTTCAAAAAAAAGTTATTTGACCAACAGACGGCAATTTGTAAGTCTGGGTGAGCACCAATCAGATTTTCTGGATATAGTATGTGGAGTCCCACAGGGGTCAGTTTTGGGTCCTAAACTTTTCATACTGTATATTAACGATATATGCAATGTTTCTGAATTATTGAACTTTGTACTATTTGCTGATGATACTACTATATGGGCCTCTGGGGAAGACCTACAGCAACTTTTGGGTCTGATTACTGTGGAATTGGACAAGGTGAAGAAATGGTGTGACAGGAATAAGTTATCACTAAATCTGGACAAAACAAAATTCATGCTGTTTGGATATGGAAGATTAAATCGTCAGATTCAAGTAAGGGTGGGGGATGCCAATATAGAAAGAGTTTACGAAACAAAATTTCTAGGCATAAATATTGATGATAAAATCTGTTGGAAACCTCATATTAAATATATACATAATAAATTGGCTAAAAGTATATCTATATTGGCAAGAGTTAAAAATATTGTGGATCGGAAGTCACTCCATACTCTTTACTGTTCTATGTTTGTACCTTATTTGGACTACTGTGTTGAGTGTTGGGGAAATACATACAAAAGCGCATTATGCTCATTATTTAAACTACAGAAAAGGGCCATTAGAATTGTTCATGGACTTGGTTATAGGGATCATACGAATTCATCATTTGCACATTCAGGATTTTTAAAATTTTTTGATTTAGTAAAATACAAATCTGCTGTATTTATGTATAAAGTCAGATATAATTTGGTGCCAAGTGGTATTCGGGGTCTGTTTGGTGATCGAGAGGGTGGTTATGGATTGAGGGGCCACTTAAATTTAAAAACTCAGGCCATACGTACAACTAGGAAAAGTTTTTGTATATCTGTGAGTGGTGTAAAATTATGGAATAGATTGGGTGATGATTTAAAACAATGTACAAGTGTAAAACAATTTAAGAATAAATATAAAAAGGCCTGCATAGCTGGGTATTGGATACAGGAAGTGTAATGATTTTATTAAGATATTATTGGTGTATTTATAGGTGGGATATGAATAATTTATTGTTTATCATTTGCTTTCCAATTATGTAAATGTGATTTGTGGTTAGAAGGAATGTAGTAATTTGGTGGTTGTGGGAATTTAACCAGTGTAGTTGTTTAGTTAAATACTTGGGTTGTGTCAACCATAGTTTGGATCACTAGGGGTACAACTAGATAAGTATATTACTTCTTTCTACTCCCTTGCAAGCATGTAATGACTAAGCATCGTCTAGAGAAATTTCTTTTTTTTTTTTGTTGTTGTATATGGTAATTGGTTTGGTTGTTTTGTGTTACATGCTGATTTCTTTTTTATTTTATTTTTTTATTTTTCTCTCTGTTTCTCTCTGTTTTATTACATGCTTGGAATTAATTAATAATAAAAATTAATAATGTTCATGTTATAACATTTCAGGGGACCTTGCCTCTCATTTTGGCTGCACAGTGGGCCTGAAAGACTCCGTCACTGCAGTAGTATTTGTTGCACTGGGAACCTCTGTACCAGGTAAGTACATGTGAGTGTATACACTGTATGTTCCTATGAGTTCTCTGATACTGATCCAACACTGCTACTATTTTAACTTATCTTAAATATCTGACTATTGGGATTTTCTCAGCGATAACCAAACCCTTTCTCTCTCCACACTTGGCATTTATCTTCATAAGGGCTTTAAGGGCATAAAATACCCAGAGGTCTTCAATTTAGCTTCTTCATTGTGTTCTTCATTGACCTCTTTCAGGGGGTGTTCCTTGACATTTTCACATTGTTGTTTCAGTTTAATTATTCTTCAGAATGTTTACTGCAGAATAAAACTGAGTGTATCCCTGCCACAAGTGTACTTACAATAGGCTATGCATGTGATTATTATGTGGAAACTACACCTATAGTTGGTTTTCACAGAGCATCTGCACAATTGCAGAAGTATATTAATGTACTAATGTGTAAAATGTGAAGAAAAAAGTATGTGTTTTACAAAAATGTACTGTATTTCACTTGTGATAATTTTGAAAATTACACCACAGAGGAGAATTTCAGTTGTTTTTGCTTTGGTTTGTTATGAATTATCAGATCTGCTCACATCTCATCAAATAGTCAGCTAATGCAGTCATTATTGTTTAGGTTGACTGAGAAATATCTAGATTTTATGGTTATGTAACATGGGGAATGGACTATTAGTTATTCTTCATTACAGGAAAATGATTATGTCTTTGGGAATGATGATAATATTCACAAACCTGCTCTTTAATAAGATGGAGTGTAAGAGGTTTTCTGCAGGATTTAAATTGAACAAAGTAAGACATTAAATTAAATTATCTGAGACTTTCTTTCTGCAAATTAATTTAGATTTGGTTCCTCTTTGTTTACCGTGAATGTGCAAAGCAAAAATTAGCAAAGTTAAAAGAATGCACACATGTATTTCTCTGCTGTAATGCTGAGTTAGTTTTACCATGCGTGACAAAGTGGTTTCCAATTTGTCCAGTGCATTTTTGTACGTGGGCCCCTGTTATGTGAAGCAGCGCAGTCTGCAGACAGCAGAATGAGTCATCTTCTAACTGTGAAGAATGAGCCATGACTTTCAGCAGCCAACTTAATAAGTTTTAACCTTGACCCCGGTCTCCTGCTTCTGCACACTCACACACAGGACACACATGCAGACATATAGCACTCGCTTGAACACTAGATTTATACCAGATGCATAAACAACAGTGCAACTGTAATTACCTTGACAAACAGATTCATGATTTCATGCACCTGCACATGCACACACTCGCCTGTACGGTAACCACTGTGTTTACAACACAGGGCTATCTGTCATGTCAGGCTCAGGCAGTTTCTGTTCTCCCATTTATGGAGCTCAGGGGTTAGTATTACATACAGTTTCACACATCCACATGCACATACACACAAAGACAGACAATGTAATATCTGCACACAAACAGAAATATACATTCATTTTTTGCTGCATACATACAGTACACAGAATTAGGAGAGTAACAGAACGAAAGTGGTTCAGTGTTTCTGAGGCTCTCAGCCTTTTTAACCCCCACCACCGGCACCACCACACACACATACACACTCAGAGAGAGAGAGAGAGAGGGAGAGAGAGAAGCATACCTCCAGCTGTGTGGCTAGTAGAGTTAATTAAACCCACCCTGTACTGTGGTTCCAGGATGATTAACCTCATTTATCACAGTTAGCCAAGCTAACACACAGCGAGAGGAAGAAAACAGCATGAGTTAATTTAACAGTAAAAATAAGAAGAAAGAGAGAAAGATAATGAATTAAAAACAAAAAAACTAAAATTTGTTGTCGGTGTGGGATTTAGGTAAATCTAACGAGCCTGATCACTTTAAGAATCCAAAGTATACTGTATTTAAAGTATGCCGTGTATCATTTCATGTTGGCCTTTCATGTCAATAACTACCTTTAAACTGAAAACAATGCACTGTGTGACTTTTAGGGACTGTTAGGTCTGTATAGAGCATTTGGAGACTTTCTTCTCAGACAAAAAAAGGGTTTTCTGTGCAGACTATTACAACCATATTTACAATTGTAAATTGTTAGTTTGTTTTATTGTTATAGACTTTCTCTCTTACAGGTTCATTTCAGATTGAATCTTGTTAGGTATTTGACAGTTTGTTGAACAAAACAAACTGGTGATGTCTACTTTGGTTTTGGAATTATTTTTTCTTTAATTTCATTGAATGATGAATCAGTAATCAAAATGTTTGTATTCATGGTCCCTGAGAGATGAATCCTAATCTTTTTACTGACCCCCGATCTTTCCTCGATCCACCACCTCCAGGCAAAACTTTCCACATGTAGAAAGACCATCAGATTGCTATGAACACACTAGTGCTCCCCAGTGAGGCCTTCCATTTTAACAAGTAAGCGGAAAATACGACCAGAAGAGACAGGAAGGAGAAGTGGAGGGAGAGGAGGTAGAAAAGGGGAGAGAGAAAGACAATGGTTGATTGACAGAGAGGCAGAGGAAAAGGGCAGAGAACTCCCCAGGGAGATATATGCTCTCAGAAGGAGCTGCCGAGTGAAACCTGTGTCTCACACACACACTGTTACTGAACATGCAAGCACCCCCGCACTCAGCCTCTTAATCAGGCATTCAAAGACTCACTGATGCTCACACACACGCATGCATTTCCCAGCTGGTGGAGGTATGGCATCAGATCGGACCCACGTGGCATCATTCACTAAGACACAGACACAGTGTGCATGCATGCACTGTACAAAGAAACATTGGCACACACAGTTAAGCCCAGCAGGCT